CCAGCCAGGGCTTTGTCAAGCCTGACCTTAAAAACTTCTGAGGAAGGGGATTCCACCACCTCCCTAGGTAACGCATTCCAGTGTTTCACCACCCTCTTAGTGAAAAAGTTTTTCCTAATATCCAACCTAAACCTCCCCCACTGCAGCTTGAGACCATTACTCCTCGTTCTGTCATCTGCTACCATTGAGAACAGTCTAGAGCCATCCTCTTTGGAACCCCCTTTCAGGTAGTTGAAAGCAGCTATCAAATCCCCCCTCATTCTTCTCTTCTGCAGGCTAAACAATCCCAGCTCCCTCAGCCTCTCCTCATAAGTCATGTGTTCCAGACCCCTAATCATTTTTGTTGCCCTTCGCTGGACTCTCTCCAATTTATCCACATCCTTCTTGAAGTGTGGGGCCCAAAACTGGACACAGTACTCCAGATGAGGCCTCACCCATGTCGAATAGAGGGGAACGATCACGTCCCTCGGTCTGCTGGCAATATCTGTGGAATGCCAGAGCTAAATTTGGGTCTATTAAAAGTCTTGCTACAGGTACTGTGCTGACTTCACTTTGGCCTCATGGTGCACCAGCACTAAGGGTCCCACTGCTATGAGCTGAAATCACCGAGCGCTGTGTCAAGTGGTGGGGAGCCGGAGGATCGAGCGTGCAGCGGTGCTGTTCGTGGAGAGGCTGGCGGAGCGTTCGTGAGACGGCGGAGCCCTGCGGGGCAGTCAGCCTCGGGTCACGGAAGGTGCCCCTTACCTCTTTCCCCCCCACACACAGGCACATTTTTAGCCGGACTGGGGAGTAACACTCTGCAGATGAACTTTTGAACTCTGGGGCTGGGCTTTTTGGACTTTGGGTGATTTGTGGGTTGCTGGACTCAAGAGAAGTTTGGGTTCTGGGACTCAAGAACCCGAGGGAAAGGACGCGGCCCAATTTGCTGGGGTGGGTCTTTGCTCATGGTTTGGTTGATGAACCCTAGTGGTGGTGTTTCCCCAATTTAATGCTGATGGCGTTTACCTCATGTTATTAAAGATTCTCTGCTCCACCGAGACTCTGTGCTTGCGAGAGGGGAACTATTGCCTCTTTGAGGCACCCGGGGGTGGGTAAGATTTTCCCAGGTCACTGGGTGGGGGCTCGAGCCAGTTTTGCATTTGCTTTGGTGAGAGGGAACCCCTGTGTACTGAACCCGGCCCTTGCAGTTCGCCCTGATTGAGTCACCTCAGCTGGCTCCCATGGGCAGCGCCGTCACAGTGGAAAATGGGGCCTTTCGCCAGAACGATTACAAAATCGGGTGATCAAGATAATAGCGCTGCAGTAATGAACAGAGATGGCTGGGAGGCGTGTGACTGTGGGCCGCACCGCCTTCGGATTGAGGAACTAGGCCGGCCTCAAAGGAACAGAGGAAACAGATTCAAAACTGGTTAACTGATGGATCTCCGAACGGAATCGGAAATGGGCCATCGTCGGCGAGCCGTTTCCAGTGGGGTCCCGCAGGGCTCGGGTCCTGGCCCAACGCTAGTTAACCACTTATCAAAGAGCCGGAAGAAAACATAAAACCACTCCGGAGAAAGTTTGCAGATGACCCAAAGAATCAGAGGAGAGGGGAATAAGGAAGAGGCCGGGGCTGTCAAGGTTCCTTCCCCACTCTGAACTCTAGGGTACAGATGTGCGGGACCTGCATGAAAACCTCCTAAGATTACTTTCACCAGCTTAGGTTAAAACTTCCCCATGGTACAAATTAATTTTATCCTTTGACCCTGGATCTCCACTGCCACCACCAAACTTTAACTGGGTTTACTGGGAAACGTAGTTTGAACACGTCTTTCCCCCCAAAATCCTCCCAACCCTTGCACCCCACTTCCTGGGGAAGGTTTGGTAAAAATCCTCACCAATTTGCATAGGTGACCACAGACCCAAACCCTTGGATCTTAGAACAATGAAAAAACATTCAGTTTTCTTACAAGACTTTTAATAGAAGTAAAAAGGAATCACCTCTGTAAAATCAGGATGGTAGATACCTTACAGCGTAATTAGATTCAAAACATAGAGAACCCCTCTAGGCAAAACCTTAAGTTACAAAAAAGACACACAGACAGGAATAGTTATTCTATTCAGCACAGTTCTTTTCTCAGCCATTTAAAGAAATCATAATCTAACCCGTACCTAGCTAGATTACTTACTAAAGTTCTAAGACTCCATTCCTGGTCTATCCCCGGCAAAAGCAGCATACAGACAGACACAGACCCTTTGTTTCTCTCCCTCCTCCCAGCTTTTGAAAGTATCTTGTCTCCTCATTGGTCATTTTGGTCAGGTGCCAGCGAGGTTACCTTTAGCTTCTTAACCCTTTACAGGTGAGAGGATTTTTCCTCTGGCCAGGAGGGATTTTAAAGGGGTTTACCCTTCCCTTTATATTTATGACAGGGGCACTGGATCTGAGCGGTGTGGATCACAAGCCAATGATGGCTATTACCAGGATGGTGTCCCTAGCCTGTGTTTGCCAGGAGCTGGGGATGGGTGACAGGGGATGATGAATCACTGGATGATTCCCTGTTCGGTTCATTCCCTCTGGGGCACCCGGCACTGGCCGCTGTCTCTCACCATAACAAAGGGACGGCTAAGCGGTGGCTTGATCCTTGTCTCTAAGTACCTACGCAGGGAGCAAATATTACCCCCTTTCTGCTCCAAACTGGTGTATTTCACCCTCTAGACCCTGCCCTGGAACAGGGCCTAGGGCCATTCCCCTCCATCGGAAATCTCACCCGGACACCAGCGCCCGCTTCCCAGGGAGCAACTCAGCCCCCCAGCCCCGGTCCAAGGAGAAATCTGACCTCTTGGTGGCAAGGGCTGCCCCCAAAAGACAGCTGCATCACCAAACTCACTAAGAGCCACGCAGCAGTTCTCCCAAGCCTCAGCACTTGCTCGCACGCAGAGGAACAGCCTGGTTGACGCCACGCAGGGATTTTCTTGCAAGTTTTCCTACCGTTGCACCGCGTGGCCTTGAAACCGCCGCTCCGGGCAGTGAAGTGCCCCATCTGTCGCAGCCAGGGCCCCACGGGGCCGGGCACAGTGAGCCAACCCCCCACGAGGGCCTCCTGAATGGACGCAGGGAGGCGACCGCTCTGCGGGGGGACGGGCGCGGAAGGGGTTGAGTGGTGCTGGGAGCAGTTAAGGTGAATGAGAGCCAGGACCGGTGGGGAGAGCCGGGAGCAGGGCTGGGGCTGGACCAGAGGCCGTGACAGACACCTGGGAGGATTGCAGCCGCGTCCCACGCCATGGGGAGAGACACCCCGGATGCCTGGAACGCGTGTGACACCCCTGAGCCAACCTCGGCCGCCTGGAGGGCGTCGTTAGGGGCTGGCTGACGATGATCCTGCCCCGGGCCCGGCCCGGCGGTGAAACGAGGCTTCCTTCGGGAATGGGAGTCGCTCGGCTAATTAACACAGCGAGGAACAAGCCTGGGGACGTCGCAGGGACCGGTCCGACCGGGTTCCAGATGCCGGGCCAGCGAAGCAGGAGAGACTGTGGAGAACCAGCCTGGCCCTGGGGCCGGGTGGAAGCCGGCGCTCCCTAGAGGGAACAGGCCCCTGCTCCATTCCCGGCCCCCCTGAGCCAGGCAGTCTGTCTGCGGGGGGGTGAGGGAATTGGACACCCAACCCCCCTCTGACGTTATTGACTTAAACTGGGACCGTAGAGATCATTGTTGCAGCCAAGGTCCTGTCGTGGCACCAAATCTTGTATAAAGGGGCTCGAATGAGGTGTCTCTGACGAGGTGGTGGCTGGTTGGTTAGGGTGATGCTGTCTGTCTGTGGGTATCATTTTTGTAGTTGAAGTTATGAATATTGGCTCTGTCCTGTCTGTATTTCAAACGTGTGCTGTGCTTCTGGGGGACGCCCCAGACATGTTGGGGTCAGCTCGGCCGAGCCTGCTGGGTGGCCCGTTAAGGACCATCAGCGACACACCTGACCCATGGAGAGCAGGCAGACACGCCTGGGGACTCAGCCAGGTGTGCCGGGACCTGCCCATGGACCGAACGCTGAGGGGTTTCCAGGCCATGGGATGGGCAGCTTGGCCTCGGGACACAGAAAGCAGAGGCCACATGGCAAGAGAGTATACAGAGCAGCTGCGGCTCCTCCATCCTGTCTTCAGCCCTGCGTCTGGCCTCCGGAGGGACCTGGCTGCCCTGACGCTCTGACCCAAGGACTCAAGGACCCCTCCCAGCTGGGGATGTTCTCCAGAGACGGGATTTGAACCTGCCGTTTAGTCCATCGCTGCCGCAAGCCTGACCCGAGAACTTGGCCGTTCCTGGATGTCAGAGCTTCCCTTTCCCCAACTCTAGCGCTCATCGATCTCTTTTCCTCTTGTGACTAAACCTCTAGATTTGAGATGCTAAAGGGTTGGCCACAGCGTGATTTGCGGGTAAGATCTGATCTGTACATTGACCCGGGTCTGGGGCTTGGTCCTTTGGGGGTCGAGGGAACCTTTGTTCTTTTACTGGGGTTTTTGGTTTTCATAACCATCTGTCCCCATAACGAGGGGCCCTGGTGGGGATACTGGGAAACTGGGGTGTCCGAGGGAATTGCTCGTGTGACGTGTGGTTAGCCAGCGGGGTGAGACCGAAGTCCTCTCTGCCTGTCTGGTTGGGTTTGCCTTAGAGGTGGGAAACCCCCAGCCTGGGGCGGTGACTGCCCTGCTCGAAGCAATGTGTCCCGAATGGTGGGGACTGCCTCTTCGTGGGGTCCCGCCAGAACCAGCCTCGTTACACCCCCCCATCCAATTCCCACCCTCTGCCCCCCCACCTTAGCTGGGGGCCCTTTGGCGAGGGCTGCGTCCGGCCAATGAGAGGCAGAGGCCGTTCCGCTCGGGTCCCAAGTACGTTGTTTATTGGGGGGGGTCGCACACAGGGGCTGGCGGGGCAGCAGCTGGGAGCAGGGTTCGTGGGGGAAGGCGGGGAGTGGGAGTAGCAGGGGTAAGGGGGGGCAGTGGGGAGCAGTCAGCGCCCACCAGACCCGGGGCCACCAGTCGAAATGAAGCGGGGGGGGGCAGGGTTTAGGGCCTGCAGCATTTGAAGTAGACGTTGTTCAGGGCCGTGTCGTCCCCCTTGCCCTGGGGGGCCTCCACCTTGGTGGCGATGGTGCAGATGCCCCGCTGGCCGCAGGAGCGGCTCTGGGGGCCCCACTTGCCCCAGCACCGCCCGTGCCCCTTCAGCTCCACCCCACCCGTGCAGACGAACTCGATGTTGTCGGCGGCCGTGTCGTCCTTGAGGCCCTGGCACGACTCCACCCGCAGCCGGAACTGGGTTAGGCGCTGCCCTGAGGGGCATTTCATCACGGGGCTCCAGAAGCCCCACCTGGGAGGAGAGAAGGGGTCAGCTGGGTACAGGCCACAGGGGGTGCTGCTTTCCCGCCACCCCTCTGCCGCTCTGGGCTGGGAGCCTGCTGCCCTAGTATCCCACTACTGACACCACGAACCCTCCGTCACCACCACGATCCCTCCCCTGCCGCTGCTAACCCTCCGTCACCACCAGGATCCCCCCCCTGCCACCGCTAACCCTCCGTCACCACCACGATCCCTCCCCTGCCGCCGCTAACCCTCCGTCACCACCACGATCCCTCCCCTGCCGCCGCTAACCCTCCGTCACCACCACGATCCCTCCCCTCCCGCCGCTAACCCTCCGTCACCACCACGATCCCTCCCCTGCCGCCGCTAACCCTCCGTCACCACCACGATCCCTCCCCTCCCGCCGCTAACCCTCCGTCACCACCACGATCCCTCCCTCCCGCCGCTAACCCTCCGTCACCACCACGATCCCTCCCTGCCGCCGCTAACCCTCCGTCGCCACCACGATCCTCCCTGCCCCCGCTAACCCTCCGTCACCACCACGATCCCTCCCCTCCCGCCGCTAACCTCCGTCACCACCACGATCCCTCCCCTCCCGCCGCTAACCCTCCGTCACCACCACGATCCCTCCCCTCCCGCCGCTAACCCTCCGTCACCACCACGATCCCACCCCTGCCCCCGCTAACCCTCCGTCACCACCACGATCCCTTCCCTGCCCCCGCTAACCCTCCGTCGCCACCACGATCCCTCCCCTGCCGCCGCTAACCCTCCGTCAGCACCACGATCCCTCCCCTCCCGCCGCTAACCCTCCGTCACCACCACGATCCCTCCCCTGCCGCCGCTAACCCTCCGTCACCACCACGATCCCTCCCCTGCCCCCGCTAACCCTCCGTCACCACCACGATCCCTCCCCTGCCCCCGCTAACCCTCCATCACCACCACGATCCCTCCCCTGCCGCCGCTCACCCTCCGTCACCACCGCGATCCCACCCTCCCGCCGCTAACCCTCCGTCACCACCACGATCCCTCCCCTGCCCCCGCTAACCCTCCGTCACCACCACGATCCCTCCCCTGCCCCCGCTAACCCTCCGTCACCACCACGATCCCTCCCCTCCCGCCGCTAACCCTCCGTCACCACCACGATCCCTCCCCTGCCGCCGCTAACCCTCCGTCACCACCACGATCCCACCCCTCCCGCCGCTAACCCTCCGTCACCACCACGATCCCTCCCCTGCCGCCGCTAACCCTCCGTCACCACCACGATCCCACCCCTCCCGCCGCTAACCCTCCGTCACCACCACGATCCCTCCCCTCCCGCCGCTAACCCTCCGTCACCACCACGATCCCACCCCTGCCACCGCTAACCCTCCGTCACCACCACGATCCCTCCCCTGCCGCCGCTAACCCTCCGTCACCACCACGATCCCACCCCTGCGCCGCCTCCGTCACCACCACGATCCCTCCCCTCCCGCCGCTAACCCTCCGTCACCACCACGATCCCTCCCCTGCCGCCGCTAACCCTACGTCACCACCACGATCCCTCCCCTGCCGCCGCTAACCCTGTACCACCACGATCCCTCCCCTGCCGCCGCTAACCCTCCGTCACCACCACGATCCCTCCCCTCCCGCCGCTAACCCTCCATCACCACCACGATCCCTCCCCTGCCCCCGCTAACCCTCCGTCACCACCACGATCCCTCCCCTGCGCCGCTAACCCTCCGTACCACACGATCCTCCCCTGCCCCCGCTAACCCTCCGTCACCACCACGATCTCCTCCCGCCGTCACCCTCGTAACCACATCCCTCCCCTGCGCGCTAACCCTCCGTCACACCCATCCCTCCCCCCCGCCGCTCACCCTCCGTCACCACCACATCCCTCCCCTGCCCCCTAACCCTCCTCACCACCCATCCCTCCCCTCCCGCCGTCACCCTCCGTCACCACCAGATCCTCCCCTGCCGCCCTAACCTCCGTCACCACGCATCCTCCCCTCCCGCGCTCACCCTCCGTCACCACCGCGATCCCTCCCCTGCCCGCTAACCCTCCGTCACCACCACGATCCCTCCTCCCGCCGCTAACCCTCCGTCACCACCACGATCCTCCCTGGCCGCTAACCCTCCGTCACCACCAGATCCCACCCCTCCCGCCGCTAACCCTCCGTCACCACCACGATCCCTCCCCTGCCACCGCTAACCCTCCGTCACCACCACGATCCCTCCCCTGCCGCCGCTAACCCTCCGTCACCACCACGATCCCACCCCTGCCGCCGCTAACCCTCCGTCACCACCACGATCCCCCCTGCCGCCGCTAACCCTCCGTCACCACCACGATCCCTCCCCTCCCGCCGCTAACCCTCCGTCACCACCGCGATCCCTCCCCTGCCGCCGCTAACCCTCCGTCACCACCGCGATCCCTCCCCTGCCCCCGCTAACCCTCCGTCACCACCACGATCCCTCCCCTCCCGCCGCTAACCCTCCGTCACCACCACGATCCCACCCCTGCCGCCGCTCACCCTCCGTCACCACCACGATCCCTCCCCTCCCGCCGCTAACCCTCCGTCACCACCACGATCCCTCCCCTCCCGCCGCTAACCCTCCGTCACCACCACGATCCCTCCCCTGCCCCCGCTAACCCTCCGTCACCACCACGATCCCTCCCCTCCCGCCGCTAACCCTCCGTCACCACCACGATCCCACCCCTCCCGCCGCTAACCCTCCGTCACCACCACGATCCCTCCCCTGCCGCCGCTAACCCTCCGTCACGACCACGATCCCACCCCCTGCCACCGCTAACCCTCCGTCACCACCACGATCCCTCCCCTGCCACCGCTAACCCTCCGTCACCACCACGATCCCTCCCCTGCCGCCGCTAACCCTCCGTCACCACCACGATCCCACCCCTCCCGCCGCTAACCCTCCGTCACCACCACGATCCCTCCCCTCCCGCCGCTAACCCTCCGTCACCACCACGATCCCACCCCTCCCGCCGCTAACCCTCCGTCACCACCACGATCCCTCCCCTGCCCCCGCTAACCCTCCGTCACCACCACGATCCCCCCTGCCGCCTAATCCTCCGTCACCACCAGATCCCACCCTCCCGCCGCTAACCCTCCGTCACCACCACGATCCCTCCCCTGCCGCGTAACCTCCGTCACCACCACGATCCCCCTGCGCCGCTAATCCTCCGTCACCACCACGATCCCACCCCCCGCCGCTAACCCTCCGTCACCACCACGATCCCACCCCTGCCGCCGCTAACCCTCCGTCACCACCACGATCCCACCCCTGCCGCCGCTAACCCTCCGTCACCACCACGATCCCTCCCCTGCCGCCGCTAACCCTCCGTCACCACGCGATCCCTCCCCTCCCGCGTCACCCTCCGTCACCACCGGATCCCTCCCTGCCGCCGCTCACCCTCCGTCACCACCACGATCCCTCCCCTGCGCCGCTAACCCTCCGTACCACCACGATCCTCCCCTGCCGCCGCTAACCCTCCGTCACCACCACGATCCCTCCCTCCCGCCGCTAACCCTCCGTCACAACCACGATCCCTCCCCTCCCGCCGCTAACCCTCCGTCACCACCACGATCCCTCCCCTGCCCCCGCTAACCCTCCGTCACCACCACGATCCCTCCCCTGCCGCCGCTAACCCTCCGTCACCACCACGATCCCTCCCCTGCCGCCGCTAACCCACTGCTGACACCAATGTCCCACCGTTGATGCCACCCTCCCATCTCTGCCACTGCTAACCCCCCACCCACCCCAGCTCTCTTGGTGACACCCGTATTCCACTCGTGTGCACGGCGCCCGGTGCCCCCTCAGCCACCTGCCCGCACCCTCCGTTGGGCCCCTCCCCACGGTACTCACGGCCCCACGTTGGACTGGATGGTTCTGCCGTTGGAGCAGAGCAGCCGGATCCCGTTTAGTGCCGTGTCGTCCCCAGAGAGCTGGGGCAGCTCCACCTGCAATAGGGGGTGGGGGGCAACAAGCCTGGGCATTAGAGACTGGTCCCCCATCACTTCAGTACAAGGAGATGGGGGTCAGAGGGGCATGGGGAAAGGGGGAAATTGGGCAGAGGGGCTGAGGGCTGTGGGGTAGGGAGAGCCGGGCTGGGGAAGGGAGCAGTGGATATGGGGAGGGTGAATGGGGCAGGGAGTGGGGTAAGGGGGAGCCGGGCTGGTGGGTGTGAATCTTTACCTTCATGGAGAACCCAATGGCGAAGCTCTTGTTGGGGCAGGTCTCTTCCTCGCCCCACTTGCCCCATATTCCTCCATTGGTAACTTCGATCTTGGTCTGGGCCCACGCGCCCCAGAGGCAGCAGACGAGCACAAGGCCGAGCGTAGCATGCAGGGAGGTATCCATGGCTGGGCAGGTGAGTGAAGGAAGCCCGCAGCAGATGTGCAGCTCCTGGCACGGGGCAGGGGTGTTTTATACCGGGGGAGGGTGGGCTGGGCTGGGTTCCGGCCTGTGTGGGCAGTGCAAAGGGGCCGGCCTCACCTTCTCTTCGCTCAGGTTCAAGGCTATCATTAGGTTAATCCTGCCCCCGGCTTCCCCAGGGCGCATGGCGCAAGGTTCCTGCCGCCACCCACCCAGGGCTCTGCTGATCGGCCCGAGTCTCGGAAACACCCAAAGCAAATACGTCATGTGACAACACCTCTGACCTCATGCCAAACGATGCAACTGTCTCCGCTGACACCAGGGTGCCTTTACGGTGCCAGCATCCCACGGTTACCTCTTGGGACATAGTATCCCACCGCTCCCACCACTATGCCATTACGGCACCAGGATCCCACCGCTGACCCCACTCTTGCCAGTTCAGACGTGGTATCCCACCTGTCCCACCACTATGCCGTTACATCACTGTAGGAAATAAGGAGTGGGAAATGAGGAAGAGGCCCTGTCCCCGGTTCAGAGCGATGTGCGTCACAGCCCCATACTGTGGTTTGAATGCAGCTAAATGTCAACGTACACAACAAGGAACGAAGCGCGTCAGCCCTACACAGGGGCCGGGGGAGTCTCTCCGGGGGCGCAGCGGCTCTGAAGCAGATTTGGGGGGCGCGTGGTGGGTAATCAGCGGAACGTGAGCTCCCGGCGCGACGCTGTGAGCAAAGGGGCGAATGCGACCCTGGCCTGCGTCAGCGGGAGTCTCGCGTCGGGCAGAGAGGCGACCCGCCGGGGGGCGAGTACATCGGAGGGGGTCAGAGAAGAGCCGCGAGAAGGATTCAAAACCCTGCCTTCGAGTGAGAGACTCCAGGAGCTCAATTAGCTGCACGGCGCGGCGGCGAAGGGGTGACTGATCCCGGGCTGTGAGGGCCGGCGCGGGGAGCGAATGTTCACAACGGGCTCCTCAGACTGGCAGAGGCAGGTCCCACCCGGGCCGAGAGTTGGAACCAGGCAAATTCGGACTGGAAACAAAATGCAAAATGTCTAACGGTGAAGGGGGCTTGTCCCCCAGAGTCACGGCGGATTCACCATCAGTGACAAGTGTTAAATTGTGGCCGCGCCCAGGGCACCATCAGGGTTTCAAAGCCCGTCTGCTCACGCCCTGCCCCGCACTCCTACCGCCCATTACGGGTTCAGTGTCTCTGCACCTCTGGGGTCATTCCCAGAGCCAGGCAGCCGTTCAGGGTGACCTCCACTGATGTCTCCCTCCCGGAGGGCACTTCACTCCCTTGCACCCGCCGGGTGGCGATGCATACTAAAGTGGGGAAATTGAGTCATGCCGCTGGTTCCCATTGAAATTGCCGCAATCCCTGCGTTCTGCACTCCTGACATATTCTCTCCCCTGTTGGCTGGCGGCTGCCCCACCCTTCCCATTTCTCAGAAACACCCAGTAAACGCAGATATCAGCATCATTCGTTATAATTATAGGCCTCTTCGTCTGCCATAGTTCCTGGGTGAGATAATGGAGCAGCTGGACTCAATTAATCAAGAATTAAGCGAGCGTAATGCAGTGAATACCGCTCCGCAGGAGTAGGTGGAAAGTGGAGCCCGTCCTGCTATTTTGGGGCTTTTTGTCGGAGTAATTACAAAATTGGGTGATCAAGATAATAGCGTTGCGGTAATGAACAGAGATGGCTGGGAGGAGTGTGACTGGGTGCCTCACGGCGTTCAGATTGAGAACCTAGAGTGGCCTTGAATGAACAGAGGAAATGGATTCAAAACTGGCTAACTGATGGATCTCCAAACGGAATCGGAAATGGGCCATCATTGCGAGCCGGGGTGTTCCCAGTGGGGGCCCGCAAGGCTTGGTTCCTGGCCCGACAGCTTTCGAAGAGCCAGAAGAAAACATAAAACCACCCCGGAGAAAGTTTGCAGATGACCCAAAGAATCAGAGGAGAGGGGAATAAGGAAGAGACCGGGCCACTGGATCTGAGCGGTGTGGATCACAAGCCAAAGATGGCTATTACCAGGATGGTGTCCCTAGCCTGTGTTTGCCAGGAGCTGGGGATGGGTGACAGGGGATGATGGATCACTGGATGATTCCCTGTTCGGTTCATTCCCTCTGGGGCACCCGGCACTGGCCGCTGTCTCTCACCATAACAAAGGGACGGCTAAGCGGTGGCTTGATCCTCGTCTCTAAGTATCGACGCAGGGAGCAAATATTACCCCCTTTCTGCTCCAAACTGGTGTATTTCACCCTCTAGACCCTGCCCTGGAACAGGGCCTAAGGCCATTCCCCTCCATCGGAAATCTCACCCGGACACCAGCGCCCGCTTCCCAGGGAAGCAACTCGGCCCCCCAGCCCCGGCCCGAGGAGAAATCTGGCCTCCTGGCAGCAAGGGCTTCCTCCAAAAGACGGCTGCATCGCCAAACTCACTAAGAGCCACGCAGCAGTTCTCCCAAGCCTCAGCACTTGCTCGCACGCAGAGGAACAGCCTGGTTGACGCCACGCAGGGATTTTCTTGCAAGTTTTCCTACCGTTGCACCGCGTGGCCTTGAAACCGCCGCTCCGGGCAGTGAAGTGCCCCATCTGTCGCAGCCAGGGCCCCACGGGGCCGGGCACAGTGAGCCAACCCCCCACGAGGGCCTCCTGAATGGACGCAGGGAGGCGACCGCTCTGCGGGGGGACGGGCGCGGAAGGGGTTGAGTGGTGCTGGGAGCGGTTAAGGTGAATGAGAGCCAGGACCGGTGGGGAGAGCCAGGAGCAGGGCTGGGGCTGGACCAGAGGCCGTGACAGACACCTGGGAGGATTGCAGCCGCGTCCCACGCCATGGGGAGAGACACCCCGGATGCCTGGAACGCGTGTGACACCCCTGAGCCAACCTCGGCCGCCTGGAGGGCGTCGTTAGGGGCTGGCTGATGATGATCCTGCCCCAGGCCCGGCCCGGCAGTGAAACGAGGCTTCCTTCGGGAATGGGAGTCGCTCGGCTAATTAACGCAGCGAGGAACAAGCCTGGGGACGTCGCAGGGACCGGTCCGACCGGGTTCCAGATGCCGGGCCAGCGAAGCAGGAGAGACTGTGGAGAACCAGCCTGGCCCTGGCTGCTCAAGCACCGACCAGGATCAGCTGGAAGAGATCAAGGGGTGGGCATCAGAGAGGCAGTAACCTCTGGCTCTGTGCCCCATTCCCTGCCCCACTGAGCCAGCCAGTGCCTGCCTGTCCCGGACTGACGAGCCCACTGTGAAATATTTGTCTCCCTCGCTGGTAGTGTTCTACGTTCACTGTAATGCTTTATCCCGTGGCTTTGGTGCGTTCAGATGAGCTTCTTGATGTCGATCTTTAATTGACCTGGGTTAGTGCAAGTTTTGTGCCAACTCTATTCACCAGCGCATTTGGGTTAGCAGGTGTGATTAGAGGTTGATCGATGTTTGGCTGCATGTGTGTGTCGGCCTAGCCCTGCACAGACCTTGAGCGAACTTCCCAATGACCATAAGATCCGTTCAGGGACGAAGGCACCCGGCCAGGTTTATTGCCGACGAAGCCCGGTACTAATATCCCACAGACTCTCCCGGACTGCTAAGACATGTATGCCTGTAACAATGACCCGCTCAGTGAACAGCCGGGCTTTCCGTTCCTCCCTAGGCCAGACAAAGTCAATCCCTCTGAGATACAGCTTTGTACCCTGATACAAACAAGTTATGTACTGCCCCCGTGACATGGCTAGTTATCACCCCCCACCTTGGTTCGAACAAAACATCTCTATTCATCACACTGTCATCCTGACCTTCTCTTTGAGGAGGGGTCAGTGTGTCCCTGTTATCCCTGGGGAATGTTTTTGTCCCATCCTTGCTATCAGGATGCTCTGGTACCACTCGATATCGGGAGGTGTTTCTGTCAGCGCCGTGTGACTAGCACTTCCGAGGAATGTGAATTTCTGCAATATCAGCCCTGTTCTTGCCCAATTCTGTGAGCAAGTCCTGCCTCATACCAGGCCTCTGATACAAGGGCTTATGTCTCAGGATCTCTTCCTACTGCAGCACATCCATTCACAAACACGTCTCCCCGGCAGCGTCTCCCCCCGCGTGTGGTCCTGCTCGTGCTTACGCTGCGAAGCGTCACCAGCTCCTTTGACATCAAATCTGGGCTAAACTGCCCGTCACTCCCGCCCGATCTCAAAGCACTTTACCAAGGAGGGGAACACCATTCTCCCCATGGGGAAACGGAGGCAAAGCAGAATCAGAGAATCATAGGACTGGAAGGGACCTCGAGAGGTCTCTCGTCCCGTCCCCTGCACTCATGGCCGGACTAAGGATTATCTAGCCCATCCCTGACGGGTTTGTCCAACCTGCTCTTACAAATCCCCCATGATGGAGATCCCACAACCGCCCTGGGCGATTTATTCCAGGGCTTCACCACCCCGACAGGTAGGAAGTTTTTCCAAATGTCCAACCTAAACCGTCCTCGCTGCAATTTAAGCCCACTGCTTCTTGTCCTAGCCTCAGAGGTTAAGAAGAACAATTCTTCTCCCTCCTTGTAACGACCTTTTATGCGCTTGAAAACTGTTCTCATGTCCCCTCTCAGGCTTCTCTTCTCCAGACTAAACAAACCCAAGTTTTTCAATCTTCCCTCATCACTCATGTTTTCTAGACCTTTCATCATTTGTGTTGCTCTTCTCTGGACTTTCTGCAATTTGTCCACATGTTTCCTGAAACGTAGCGCCCAGAACTGGACACACTCCTCCAGCTGAGGTCTAATCAGCCCGGAGCAGAGCGGAAGAATTACTTACTGCGTCTTGCTTACAACACACTTGCTAAGACATCCCAGAATGATGCAACATTGTTTTGCAACAGCGTCACCCTGTTGACTCATATTTAGCTTGTGGTCCACTGTGATCCCCGGATCCCTTTCCGCAGTACTCCTTCCTAGGCCGTCCTTTCCCATTGCGTGTGTGTGTAACTGATTGTTCCTTCCTAGGGGGAGTACTTTGCATTTGTCCTGATTAAATTTCATCCTATTTACTTCAGACCATTTCTCCGGTTTGTCCAGATCATTTTGAATTTTAATCCTGTCCTCCAAAGCACTCGCAACCCCTCCCAGCTTGGTGTCGTCCGCAAACTTTATCAGTGTCCTCTCTATGCCATTATTTAAATCATCGATGAATATATTGAACAGAACCGGA